CGGCGATGCCGCGGCGCTTAACCACGAGTTACTCTCCTGGCAGTCGGGGGTCTGTGCGTCTCTCCGAGTCGCGTGCCCGTTGAATGATGTTTAACTCTTTTCAGCGGTGTACGAATGGGCGGAGGGCATAGCTGCCTTCGTGCGCGCGCCAAGGATGCGGGGAAAGAGGATGGTGGCGATTGGGCACTCGGCAGGAACGGGGGCAATGTTAGTGATCTGCAGTGCAAGCTCCTCCCTTCTCTCACTCATCTCCGCACTCCCGTGATGTGTTATCGTAATATTGACGCGCACATATCCAGGGTAATGACCATGCGTGGCCTCCCCCTCACCGCACTCCCGTACACCTCTATCGTGCTGATCGAGCCGACGCTGGCCACGCGCGAGGTGTTCTCCCGTCACGTCGCGGACCGCACCGCGGCGGCGGTAGCGGGGACCCTGGTGCGCCGTGAGCAATGGCGCTCTCGCGCTGAGGCGTACGCGTGGTTCGCGCGCCGCGCGCCGTGGAAGCGCTGGGATCCGCGTGTGCTGCGCATCTTTACAGTGCGTCCGCTTTTTTCACTACTTCACTCCTTACTCACGCCTTCCTCACCGATAGGAATTCGGGCTCCGCGAGACACCGGACGGCGATGTAACCTTGAAATGCGATCGAAGGCAGGAGGCCATCGCGTACCCGGACGTACACCCGCACTTCGATGCTGTAGATGAGATCGCGCGCGTGTGTCGGACAGTGCCGATCCACCTCGTGTGGGCGAGTCGGAGTAGTTTCGCGTGAGTATGCATACCGCCTGGATTTTGTTGCTGTTCTCCGCTATTTCGAGATTAACACGGGAATACCCTGCAGCCCACGAGTCGTACAAGATGCACTTTCAGACATCTCAGAAGGCCGGCGGGTCGCGTCGATTACGCACCTGGAGGGAGGGCACATGGTTCGTCACCGCCTCTATTTTCAAGTTTCGTCCTCCGTTTTGATGCTGTTTGTCCCATCCCAGATTATTCAGGCGTGCCCGAACCGTGTAGCGCTGGAGATATGCAAGGCCCTCGATGGCGTCGGTGGGGATCTGGGCGTGCCGGTGCGTAGCAGATTATAAACCTAGAATTGTACTATAGTAGAACTGGGTGGGCCTTGGATCCCTGAAACGGTCGAGACCACCCCATGACTCCATGCTATCGTAGAAATGACGACTTTCTGCTACTCTTTTTGAGTCGGCTTTCTGGCGGTTGCTTGGCAAACTTGAGTACGTGGACGAAATATATGTCATTGTTTCTCAGGTTTGTTTCAACCTGAGAAACGTGACCAAATTGTCACGTGATTAGTCGCGGCGGGCTACCATCACCCAGCAAGACCAAACATTGCGTTGCCCCTTAGGACTAGGAACTCAGAGATGTGTCACAAATAAGGATTCACGGAGTCCGAGAGATACTACATTCCAAGTAGGCAAATGTGTAATAAATAGGTGACCAGGGGCCCACTCACAATGATAAATACCTTGATATGTATACACCAAGGTCTAAAACAGCATCTTATACATGTAAAGACGGTAGAGTGAACAGCGACTTGGTTAGAGGAATACGTCACTACGCCGGGTTATCGCTTCGGTGACTTCAGCTGTAGAGGAAAGCGATTCGGAGTTCGTATCCGGGCGGAGAGAAAAAGACGCCAGTACTAGTAATGCCACGTCCCAAAAACACCTAATTTTGGGCACTATTTTCTTCTATCTCGGACCGCCATAGTGGGGAGGGACCGGGCGCCTGCCCCACTCACGCCTGGCGTGATGGTTTGCCACCTTGAGGCTGAGGCGCTTACCCGGTTCTTCGGCGAGCGATTGATCGAGATCTTTATCTAATTCTCCGACAGCCACAGCCTGGATGTGACTTCCCGCGTGCGTAACGCGGAGCGCCTAACACCTCTGCCTCTCGGACCCACTCTCCTCGTGGAATCATGAAACTGGTACCTTCGCGACTCTCCGGAAAAGCAACAGCCTCCCAGCGCCGGCTCACGAATGCGCTTCCTGCGGAGCTCTTGGTCGAAATAGCAAGTCATCTGACTTGGACCATCGACGTCCTGAACTTCAGCCTCACCGTACGCTATCTGCCAATAGGTCCTTGCGCTGTTAAAACGATTTGCCTTGTAGTCGTCGCAGGTACGGACCATTCTGTTGCCGGAAATGTACAAGGTGGTATTCTTGTTCGGAGGCGCATGGTCCGCAGCTCTCGAAATGTTTGCGAACCGCCCCGAGTTGTGCGCGCATATTCGAACTTTGGAAGTAGATCTCTTTTATGAAGCGCTACGGCCGGAACGTCAACAAGACGGCGATATTGATCATATCGCAACGTTGGTCGACAAGGTTGCCGCGGGGCTAGTAAACCTTCACACCTTCGAATGGACTGCAAAGCGGCTACCTCCTGACCATCTCTTTTTAACACTTCGGAATGCGTATGTGAATTGGATATATATCTGTGTTTCGATACTGACACGTTGGATGTAAAGCTGCCCGAAACTTAAGAATCTACACATTTATGTGAATACCATTAGTTTTGATCCCGCGAGTGAGGTGAGTCACACATCCACAATGACCTGATATATAATAAATAACGTGTTCATTCTCCAAGCTGTTTAAATTCGACGACCTCTCATCATTTTTCCTCCGGGTGGAGCATGATGACACGATCGACGGTAACCACACACTCCGTTCTTGTTGATTGGCATTCATATTTCCGAGTAGAATTTCCATTCTTCTTCTGGCAGGATATCCCTGTCCAACTTGGAGACATGCTTCTACAGCGCTGCCCCAATCTCGACTCGTTGGTAATTCGACTCCGGTCGGTGCCCGACATCTGGGTCCATGAAATCGATCGGCTGGTCTCCGGTGTCTGGCCCAAATTAGAGTTCCTCCACCTCGACATAGATGTCATCGATTCAGATCCCATATCCTTTTGGCCACCACTCAGCACATTGAGGAATTTCCTGTCGGCACATTCCGGCCTCACCGAACTCGGGCTCACAGCATACGCCATATTCCCAACGACGGTGTTTTCTCGCGACCTCCCCTTGTGCTTCGAGCCCAATGCATCGTGTCAAGTTACTTGGTTTGACGGTTTGTGGCAGCATGTCGCTGCGCTTCCGAATCCCGCGGCATTGAAGACACTCCTGCTAAGCACAGTAGTCACGGACGCATCCCTGGTGTCTGTCCTCCCCGTGCTCCGCGGCCTCACGTCACTGACAGAACTCACCCTCGAGTTCACCGACATCGATCCAGCCACTGCCATCCGAAATATCGTCTCCGCGTGTCCGAGGCTGACCAGTTTGCATCTCAAATTCTACAAAAACACCTTCACTCCAGTGCGTCCTTTTTCTTTGTTATTGCACACCAATAATTCGAATGCGAGCTAGATTCAACTCAAAGAGGTCTCTATTCAACTGAAATCTTTGTTGCAGCTCAGGAGCCTCTATCTCGATGCAGTCTACAGCTCCACTGGCGGCACACTGCTGAAAGCAGCCTTGATGTTGCTTGATGATATCCCGCTATTGGAGGAAATCCTCATCATAACATTCATGGATAAAATCTGGCACCAACGTGGTCATTACCTGATTCTCAAGGACACCAAAGGCCAGAGGTTTATATCTGCAAGAGAGTCTGGAAAGGACAGAGGTTATCTGAAGGGGAGATTTGGCAGGAAGGTTTATCCCCAGGGGAAGTTCAGCAGAACGTTTCGCTATCCGCTGGGGAGACATGTTTTGGGGAGCATTTCGAAAGGGTTGAAGAGGATAAGACGGTGATTTCCCGACGCGTGTATGCATCAGGGACTTGATATTATATCCCAGGACATTTGTGTATTTGGTTCGAAATACAGTTCTTCATCTGTTTGGGCCATTCAATTTCGTCTACCTTCAACTCTAGCTTCAACTCTGATACAATCATTCTGGATGCCTTTTGACTCGCTCCAATGAGCAAACGCCTGCGTGGTTACTTTCCTAAATGAATTCGAACGCGCGCACGACATTTGCGCCACCAAGGCCGACACAAAACAACCACGGCAGACGTGCTAGAAAGTTTTGTTTGTTTCATCGACTGTGAGTTGATCCTGCAACTTTCTGATGCGACGAGCAGCGGTGAAACTCGATAGTGTCAAGCATGCAGCAGTTGACCAGGACCAGGACAGAAAAGAATCAATCATGTATGTGGGGTTGAAAACAGAGGGCGGCTTCAAACGCGTCAGATAGTACTTGAGGGAGAAAAAGAAGACAAAAACATATGAGGCCGAAATATTCGGGCGCGGGGAGTCGAACCCCGGCCAGCTGAGACAACGTACTCCACGGAACACCTGCAACGGGGCGCCGTACACCACGCCCGATATTGAAGCTGAATGTTATTATATCGAAGTGGAGGAATGAATTCCGCGGAATAAAGCAGCCAAGATGAGTGGAAAGTACGGAAGCGGAGTTTTTTGGTTATGGTTGAGTTCAGGGTCGGCTCCAGGATAAATCATATTGCTGGAGACCCGAAGGGCAGAAGGAGGGGGAAAAGTGACAATCTGACAGAGAGAATTCGGGCCCGGGAAGTCGCACCCCGAACAGCTGCAGAAAGTTTCCAATACATCATCTTTACACAGCATGCACCACGCCCGATGAGAAGCTGTAGTACCGCGATGTGAAATTCGATAGTATTAAGCAGTGCGACGGTTGACATAGAATATGGACCAAGGCAGGAAAAAAGCTTACTAGTACACTCCTGTATTCGGGCGCGGGGAGTCGAACCCCAGATAGCTGTCACGGAAACGTCCCGTTAATATTCGCAGTGGTGCGCCGTACACCTGATGTTGATCCAGGGAGGTGAAGCTGGATAGGATTGTATCGTCGGAAGGGAGGGACGAATTACGCGAGAGATTGAGGAACAAAGAAATCAAAGATGAATGGAGTTAGGGAGTCCAGGCTCGGTTCGGGGTGAATAGTGCTGGTGGGGCGAAGACTAGGGGGGAAAATCGTCAATCTGAAAGAGACACTCGGGCGCGGGGAGTCGAACCCCGGCTGGCTGCAGAAGGCTTACTTGATACAATCACAACACAACGCAACTGTGCGCCGTGCACCACGCCCGACGAAACATACGGTAGTGAACAGGGCGATGGGGACGCCGGCTAGTCAGCGCAGACGTCAGCACAAAGAAGTTGGTCGTTCACTCGCCGAGTTCGCCGGAGTAAGAATCAACGGCGATGACGAATCACAGGCGCGAGGGTGCATGGAGTTCATTGCAGGCGGGAAAAAGAAATTCCGCGTTGAGTCGGCCGCGGGGAGTCGAACCCCTCCTACTGCCGTCACTGTGTTGCGTGAAGAGACGGGACAGCGGTGTGCCATACACTACGGCCGATTGAAGGAGGTGCTGTTACTACACGCAGTTTACGATAGCGGCAGTAACCAAGCGGGTAGACAGGGCGTATAGAGAGCAGAAGACGCACCGGAATCGGATCGTCGGCGATTGAACATGTGAAACCAGCGCCTAGGGTTGAGAAGACGATAAATTTCATTAGAAACAGAGTGACCGCAGAGGACACGCCGCCAGTCGTTTCGATTCACCGTGGAGTACGATTGTCCAAGAGAAAGATGGCAGACACACCGTTACCCGATTTCCATGCATTAAACTGCCCGCAAATCCGTGCGCCCGTGGACGTTGCGTTGGGGTGAGGAGTTTCACCGGAAGCTGAGTAGGTCTCGCGACGTTTATTTGGCTGTAGTATATTACGAGCAGGTCCAAATCGTCGTCAACCTGGCACAAAGCGAATGGCGGAGGGAGATGCGTGCGTATGGTTGAAGCAATGGTAGACAGAGGACCGCCTTGTGGGTGGCGAGTGGCAAGAGTGAATCTCGGGCCGGGCGACCCGCGAAGAGCACATCACGGTCACCGTCACGCAGTGGCGGAGACCCGGCCATCATTCCGCGACTTCTCTCCCGCCTTCATCTTGCCTCTGGCACATTTCAACTCACAGGAGATACGGATGGATGTGTTTCGAAACCTCAAGAACCTCCACAGAAACCCGCAGACAAATAACCGTGCCACCGATATCCGTCCAGTGACCAGTCTTGCCACTTGCGTCCCACTCCGAGTCTATCTGCGTTCTGATTCGATGTTTGATGTTTGAACGCATCCCGCTTGGATTCTCATTTGCGCGCGCTCGCGGGGTCCATTATGGGGGCGTGGCGCACGGCGCATATGGGTCGAGGGCCAGCTTGAGCAGCAGCACGGGGGTTGAGTCCCCGCGTCCATTCGAGGTCCCGGAGACGCTAGTATGGCTTTTTTTACATGGAGTTCCTTTGAACCCATCTGATTTTTGCGGAGACGGGGCCAGGTTGGATTCTCTCACTTGCCAATGGAAATCTCTCCCCCCATCGCCTCTCCAATTCTAACACTGGGTCACCCGCTTACATGTGCTGCCCAAGGTTCAGGCCCAGTGACTTTCCCAGCTAGGAATATCGAGCCAAGGCGAGGCAGATCGAGACATTTGTGTGCTCCTCGATTTGCCTCGCCAATTTGGACATAGCTCAATTTGCCTCGATGATAAATCGAGGACAATAGAGGGACATCGAGAGAAATTGAGGAATGCATCGAGGGGCATCGAGACCTTGCGAGGCAAATATAGGTGGGCAAAATAGGTATATTTCATGCTTCTACTACGGGTACATCGCTATATACATGGAATCCCAGCGCGCACTAGCACCATAAGACCTGCGACCGAGCCGATCAGTTGACGCGGACACGAGGAGCCTTCGGGAGACTGGTATCAGCGAAGAGGGGCGGAGCGGGTCGGACAGGTATCCTTACCAACATTGGAAGCAGCAGGTGGCGGGGGAGGGGCAGTAACGATAGCGGCGGCGGCCAACGTTCGCCACCCGTTTGCGGATCACCTTCGTTCTTTCGCTCCCACCTCCCCCGTTCCAAAGATAACGCGAGCGTGCAAAGGCACCTTTGAATTGGGCGGACATCGTACTGGGCTGTATACATATATGTAATCAGTACGCACGCAGGAAGTGGGAAGGGAAGGGAAGCTGGACAGAAAGAAGGAGAGGAAAAGAAGGGACGAAGGGACGAACGGTTAAAGGAATGAAGGGAAAGGAAAAAGAGTACATGGAAACGACACACCTGCACCACACAAAAAGGTATTGGTACGGGGAGTGCACGTACATGTATACCTCTGGCAAAACAATTATTCAGCAGGACGTATTGCGAGTAGAGAAGCACGCACGTGTGCGAAATGCTTCGCATTCCTGTGCCGTCCTCTTCATACGGGCCGGGGGCGTCGAGATCGAGGAGCTCGGCGAGGAGTTTGACGGCGCCTTCGGAGTGGATGCCGAGAGCCTTCATGATGGAGAGGATGAAGGTCGTGAGGAACTGTATGCGATTCGGGGATTATGAGTATCATTGTGCGCAGATGATTTACACCCTGCAGACTGCCTGTAGAGATAAATCTCACGTACTAGGGAAGAACAGAATACTCACGGTGCTGTAGGTTCCGAATGCGGCGAGAAGATGAGGCACTTCGGGTGAAGAAGACTTGCGAAGCTCTCGCGCGGTCTGCGAAATGTCAGAACTTGAAGCAGTGGCTACGAGACTACAAAGGTATCTTGAGAACATGACCAGACAAGTGTTGAGGAGGATGAGGGAGCAAAGACGGCGCGGACAAGGGCAGGGGAACGAAAGGGCGGGGAGCAAGGTGGCGGAAGAGGCAAGAGACAAATTGAAACTCCGACATCGTACGTTTCCTGACGTGGGTGCGCACGGACTTCGCATTTTTGTCCAAGTCCAACAGCTGCGTCGCCGAAGGGAATGACTCAAATTTAGTTCCAAACAAAAGAATCTCTCGATATAACATCGTTGTGCCTCTTTTTCTCTCGATTCCTCGATCTTTCTCTTTCTGGCTCGATATTTCTAGCGGGGATATTCACTGGGGTTCAGGGCCGGGCTGGATCTCTCACTCGCCAACTGAGAAGCTCTCCCTGCCATCGCCGCTGCAATCCTGGAACTTGGCCTCAAAAAATCCAACCTTTGGGGCCGGGTTGGATTCTCTCACTCGCCAATGGACTCGGAGAAGCTCTCCCTGCCATCGCCGCTGTAATCCTGGCATTTGACCTCCAAACTTCAACCGTGAATTCATAGCCCCATGGCGTGAATCGTGAGGTTAGCCTTCCAATATTTCAACCGGGCTAAAGAGCACGGCTGCGTTATCTGTGCCGAAATAAACTCTGCCTATGGTACGCAGCAGCCCCGGGTTCGACTCCCGGCGTCCAAGTTATATCGCGACACTCTCTTTTTATTCGCGCCATTTCACTATGATAGCGATGTGTTCAAACTTCCGGGCCCAGTCCACTACAAGATGCCCGCGCCCTAACACCACTTAGCCAGGTATGAATAATGTTCTAATTGAGTCCCTCATATTCAGGGGCACCTCCTCGCATTTTAACGGACGTGGTGCATGGTACATAGGAGCCTTCAACAAACTTGGATAACCATTTCTGTAGTTTCCGTTCTATGATATCCCAGAAACTGCCGTGGTGGATCTAATGAGGGTCTGATCGTCGAGAAGACAAAACCATCACAATTTAAGTATTGCTGCCGCTCTGTTCCGCCTTGGTGCTTCCTCTCCGCTTTGGTAGACGGTATGTGGTCATATTTTATGGTAATTTCACGCTCATGTCTTGGAAAGAGCGGTTCGCGTGGTGCGAAGGATCACGCCCGCTCAATACTGACAGTTATCCCAACCGACAATCATTTCAATGTTATCTGCCATTACAATATATCAGCACCCGTTCAGCTATCTAAGAGGGTATCGTCCAGAACGTATTCTGCACGAATCCGATGATGTAGGCATTCGCTGAGTTGTCTTTGATCGTGAGGGTGTTGGTCTTTTGATCGAAACTGGTGCTGTTCGAAGTGCTGCCGGCATACCCGCCGATCTCCGCCAATCCCAGATTCCCGATCTCGAACCCTGACTCTGACGAGGAGCTGCTGTTGTCGGTCTTGATATCAGTGAACGCAATCGTAAAACCGGGCTGGAACCCGACGAGCGCGTAAGCGTTATATACCGACAGCGGGCCAGGCTTTTGAGCAGAACCAAAAAAGGTACTCTGGTTGAAGATGGCCTGCGCGCCAGTATGATTGGTATCGGGGTTCTGGGCAGCCTTTGCCAACCGATAATCATCGAACCAATGGCCTTGATCGACCTCCAGAAGAGCGAGAGCCCCGAAACTGAGCCCAAAACTGTTCGCTTGCAGGTCCAGGGAGCTCTGCGACGCATTATGTTCGCCACCGAACCCACCCTCGAAATTGTCGAAGATGATTCCGAATTCCGCCCCGCCGAATGACGAACTGGAGCTCATTGAGACGTTATGTTCCGAGCTAGTATATTTGAACGGCGAGAGACCGCTCCCGGATTGCCACGCGGAGAGCGTGGCGTTCAGAGTCGGAATAGCGTAGTAAGGAACAAGACTTCTGTCCTGGGGATTCGTCGTGCCCTTTTTCTGGACCACCATGTTGATCCCGGGAACCCTATGACAAAACCATCATTCCGTGCGGGCTAACTGACGCGGAAAGAACTCACAGGGCGGATTTTGTCAGCAATGGCTCGATATTGACTCGTGCGGTGATATACACGTCTGAATCGTTCCCATTGGCGTTGTCAGTCGCGTTCCATGCCTACGCATACCACGAGCGTAAGTAGTAGCAGGAAGAAAAACGGATTTCACTTGTACAAAGTTTGTGTAACTCGAACTGAAGCTGACGGTGTTGTTCGTCAACCGATCGGCCTGAGTGTCGCACGCCTGGTAAATGTCGTTATTTATCTGGGCGGTGGTGAGATTTCCAGCGTTCCCCGCGTAGTTGACGGTCTGCCATGGCCCTGCCACATTGAACGGTTGATTGTCACCCTGGTGCGCGGCCAGGAACTCAGCAATCGCGCCAGTAGTAAATTGCCGGATGGTGGCGGGAGTTGGCTGCGAGTTACCGCGGGGGAGTCCGGGGGCCGCAGCGACAGCCATAGAGAAGATCCCGAGGGCAAGGGTGCGGCTCTGCAGTGAACGCGTAGATGGCATTATAATTTATGTCGTGAGA